TTGACATACCTGTCCACAGACTGCCACCCTCGGCGAACTCCATAACCAGCCATAAAAAACTTTTATCGGTCGCTAATAATTTGACAATATTTTGGTGGCTCACACGCGACAGCTTTGTCCACTCGTTAATGAAATATTGTTCTTTTGATTTCTCGGTTTCCTTGACCACCACCTGCCGGCCCCTCCAAACCCCTTCACGCACTAGACCGAAACCTCCCTTTCCCAATACCTATTTTAAAAACATTTTATATGGGACATACGGTATGTGACATACCAATACCATAATATTGGCTATATTTGAAGTTCAAACATAGTCAGTATTATGGTACTGGTATGTCAGCTATAAAACAGTATACAATTTAAAAATACAAACATGCGATAACTGGAGGTCCGCCGGGTGTATAGTTTGGGGTATATGTGTGTCGTTTGGGTCTCGCATTGTCGTCCAAAATGGTTGACTTGAATAAGCCATGCATTTAATTGTCTTGATATCTTATGAGTTGACTACAAACTGTTGTTTTATCAATTTAATTTATTAAACATAAATTAACTAAATAAAGTTAAATGTACTGTAATAACGCGATAGGTATAACGTAATAGTTTCAAATTATTATAATATAATAATAAATTTTTAAATATGAATCAACGTTTAATGTGAAAATATTTATAAATATAATGTATTATCAGTTTGAATGGCAACTGTTCAAAGGGTGTGTTTTTTATAAGGATAGGTAAATAAATTTTACCGCTGTAAATTATAAATATTAGTATAACAAATACTTGTGCTATCGATTATATTATAATTATTATATGTTTGTTAATTGAGTATGTTAAAATTATAGAGACCATATAATTATGAGTTTTAGTATTTTATAAATTAGAATTTAATATCTATTTAAATGAATTTGCTATAATATATATATATTCATAATTTTAATTATTAGTATTTATTGGTATAAACTAATGAATTAATTTGAATAAAATATTGGTATCAGAAAATATAATATATTATGTATAATAATATGTAACTTACTTGATAGTTGTAGTATTAATAGAAAACACGGTCAAAATTTATAAAGATAAAAATAATATTAAAAGTTGTCAATTTTTATTGAAACTCTTAATACTGTATACTGTATTATATATCAAAGTTTCATATTTTAATAGTGTTTATGTTTTAAATTTATTATCAGTATTTTTAAAAATATTTTATCAGCAATATGATAAATATGAGTGGTGATAAATATTTTTAAAATATATTTTTAAATATTAGAAAATACTGTGGAAGTTATTAGTTATTACATTTTTTAAAATCATATTTTTGACTATTTATTTATTTCTATTTGTATTTTAGGAGAACATCACCTGTATATTTACCTATGTCTATTAACATCTAACCGGGATCATCCTAATCACGATGGCCTCCATTGCTTTAAACTTCGTAGGTTTAAGACAATAGCCGTTCCTGTCGTAGTCATGTGGTACGCCATCACCGGTATATTAATGATTTGTCTAGCTCTACGGGCTACCCATAAATTTTAAGACCTGGCTATTACTGGTGGCGATAGGTGGAGCCGGTACACTGAACCAGTTATTCCAGACCATGATTTCTCCAATACGAAAAGGTCGGCCCCCATATCGGTCACCAGGATTTCAATATAGTTGCCTTCAATATAGTCATATTCATGGCCTTCATATGGGATGTGACCCTATTTATGGACCCAATCCTATGGACCTCTATATTAGGCGATAATCCTATAAATTTAGGCTTACACATATTGAATTTTTCCCCTATAAACCTTTGTTATTTAAAAATTCTTTTATTAATTTATAACAAAAATAATTATTAAATAAAATTTTAAAGTATATAAATATTTTTTAGACTAAATCATTTTAATACAACAAAGCTGATAACACTATTAATGGTTTATTAAATTCTTTAATAATTAATTTCAAATTTCACTTTTGTCTCATATAATACTTCCACTCGACTATAATCGTGAGCCTATTGTCTGGTATAGAGTTTCAACTCAGTTACTATTTATTTGTGCGTGCTCATTTACGGACTAAATGCCGTGCCATTTAGTTCCCTATTTGGAGCGGTAACTGGCGGTCATCATGGAGGAGATATTGAAGGCGACACTGACCGAGACCTTTTTGGTGGATTGGGAAATCAATTTGGATCCGGAGTGGGACGTAGAGCTGGAGGTCTAATTGGAGCTGCAATTGGATCTACAGCTGGAGCTGGAAGTAGTGGAGGACCTAGTGGTGGAAATAGTACTGGTGGCGATCCCCTAAATGGTGCTGTAACTGGCGGTCATCACGGAGGAGATATTGGAGGTGACGCTGGACGCGACGTTGTAGGTGGAGCCGCATTGGGATTGGGAAATCAATTTGGTGATGGAGTGGGACGTGGAGTTGGAGGTCTAACTGGAGCTGCAATTGGATCTGGAGCTGGAGCTGGCAGTAGTGGTTGACGTGGTCATGGAACTGGATCTTATTATTAAATAAAATTTTCGAGCAAACTTTTAAAATATTTATTATTTTATTCGTGATCCTTTTAATACAATAAATTGATAGCATTACTAATTTGTAATATATTAGTTAAACAACAACTAATATGTGTGTCGTTTGGGTCCCGCATTATTGTCCAAAATGGTTGATTCGTATGAGCCGTGGATTTAATTATTTTGATATACTATTGGTTGACGCAAATTATTGTTTTATCAATTTAATTTATTATTAATTTATTATAAATATAATCAGTAAATTAAATAAAGTTAAATATGCTGCATTAATGAGATAAGTATAACGTAATAAATACAAATTATCAGTAACTTTAAAAAACAACTTTAACAGTAATACGCATGATTGATAATTTATAATTTTTAATTGTTATGAAACAATGTTTTTAATAGTTGTATACACGGTAATATTAATATTTTTGATTAATTATGTAGTAATATTTGTTTAGTACAACAGCACCGGAATTCACACTTAAATTCATACTATAAACTTTATAGTATGTTTATTACAACCTAACCTGGATCATCATAATCATGATGGGCTCACTATCTTTAAACTCAATACGCTTAAAACAACGCCCTTTCATGTCGTAGTCATGTCGTACTCCATAGCCGGTATAATAATGAGCTTATAAGGGGTTGACTTTTTCGCCCCCCCCCAGATTTGTGCGCGCCAATTTTCCCGCCCGATAAATAATGGTGAACAAATTTAGTTTATATGGAAAGTATAACTCAAATATGGATTAATTAAGTCAATTCATAATGACTAATAAATAAAATTATTTATTTATAATTAAACATAAAATATAAAGTTTATTTTATAATCAATAAGCGTATTATAAATTGAGTAGCTAATTAATTATTTAGTAAATTTTAAAAACAAGCAACTTTAATTTTAAAATACATATAAAATCAAGCCATATTGATTTATTTGTAATATTTAGTTAATTTACTAATATAATTTAGTTAATTATTTAATAAATTAGCTTATATATATTATAATTAGTATTATTAAATTTAAAAATATTATTTAAGTAATATAATAATAAGTAAAAAACTATGTATCATGTAAAGTTTATTATTATACAGGAACTGGTTAATTATAATAAACATGACCAGTTTGACATTCACAATTATCTATAATATTCTGTGCATCAGATAAGCATCTTACGTAAGTTATATTAAATACTTAATGTAAATTAAATTAGTCATCATGTTCATCACCTTATAATTAGCAACACTATTATTTTGTTAATAGTCATATCATTTTTATTAATAAATTAATGTGTGGTTTACATAAATATTTTAATATTCTTAAATCATAAAATGTTTATTTTATTATACATTTTCCGGTACATGGTGTTACAATTCTTAATAATTTTTGAAGTTATTATATTTAAATTATTTAAAATATGGGCATGCGCAAACAAAATGCTTAATTCCTTATGTATTTTGTGCAACGTCTGCGAATTATTTTTAATGACATTTCTAGGGTGACCAGATCATTATGATTCATAAATTATACGATAATCCGCTAAATTTAGGCTTGCAAATATTTATATTATAATTTTTTTTCTATCAACCTTTTTTATATAAAAATTCTTTTATTAATTCATTTTCAAATAAAATTCTAAAATATTACAAAAATTAGACTAAATTCATTTTAATACATTACAGTTGATAACACTATTAATGGTTTCTTAATCATTTAATAATTAAATTCAAATGTCATATTTGTCTCATATAATACTTCCACTCAACAATAATTATGAACCAATTGTCAGATATTATTAATCTCAAGCCAGTTACTATTTATTTGTGCGTGCTCATTCATGGACTCATATTACCATGCACAATTGCCGAACCTATACCATTTGGTTCTTTATTTGGAGCTGTAACTGGTGGTCATCACGGAGGAGATATTGGTGCTCAAGCAGGAAATGACCTTATAGGTGGAGCCACATTGGGATTGGGATCTGGAGTCGGATCTGGAATAGGACGTGGAGTTGGATCTATAACTGGAGCTGGAATTGGATCTGCAGCTGGAGCTGGAAGTGGAGTTGGGCCTAGTGGTGGAACTGGACCTAACTCGGGTCCTGGGTCAGTGAAAGATGTCATTCTTAAATCTGCTCATGGTCCCTTACTTGGAACTGTAACTGGTGCTAAGGGACCTGGAATTGGATCTGGCGTTGGGTCTGACATTTTTGGTGGAGTACCAGGTGGACTCGGAAATGAACTTGGATCTGGAATTGGAAGTGGAACTGGAGCTCCAATAGGAACTGAAGTTGGACCGTTAGCCGGAGCTGGAAGTGGACTTAGTCCTGGAACTGGTGCCAGTGATCCACTATCTGGTGGTGTAATCGGTGCTAATGAAGGACAGAAAATTGGAAAGGGAGTTGGACAACAGGTTTTAGGTGGTTTGACATTTGGGCTTGGAAATGAGCTTGGTGGTGGAATTGGTGGTGGATTTGGATCTCTAATTGGCACTGGAATTGGAACAATAGCTGGAGCTGGAAGTGGACTCAGTCCTGGATCACATACAGGGAAAGACAAATTGCTCAAATCTGCTGTTTATCCTGGAGCAAATACTGTACCTAGTGGTGGTCCTGGATCAGAGGCAGATATAGCATCATTGTTTTATCAATGTTTTATTGAATTGAAATGTTAAAACTGTGTAGTGCTATATAATATGTCCTAGTACAAATACATTATAATGAACTATAGGCACATTATCTAGTAGACATTATTACTTACAGTTCATTGTATTGTATTTGTACATTGACATCTTATAGCAGTCACTGACACATATTAATTTTAGATAAATACATGTTTTTGTTACTAATATTATTTAAAACAATGTTAAAAATGATAAAAATTAAGTCCATTTATAAACATTTATTTATAAAACAATAAAATACTGTATATTAAATGATTTTAAAATTTTTTATTTCATTAAATTAAAATTTAATGATAATATATTGCGTTAATTAAAAAATAACTGGTTTAAACTTTTTTTACAAAAATATTAGGATTATTATTTTGATTTAAACATGATATCTATATGATCGTCTCCGTGCATAAAACGGTTATTTATTTTTCAATGCAAACTGTATAAAAAACATAATCATTGCATTCATAGTATCTAATATTGTTTATTACTTTGAGAAATGCAATGATTATGTTATGTATACAGTTTGCATTGAAAAATAAATAACCGTTTTATGCACGGAGACGATCATATCATTATAAAAAAATTCTCACATACTGTAATTATTAAATATTATTCGTTTCATTATTATTTTATTATAAAAATATACTTTATGAAATACTGTTTAATAAATATAAATATTTAGTTTTAATTACATTAATAAAGTTTAAAAATTCAAACCGATAGGCATGAACCTACTTGGGATCTACCTACCCATGGCTGCCTCCCTTTCCTTTTTCCTATTAACTGTTATGCATCTGTAGGCTTATCACAACACCAGTTCCCTTTTTTGATGTGGTACTCCCATCAATATTATTATTATTGGTAGAATTGACCTATATGTGCTTGCACAATTTTGTCATACGTCAGAGATCTTAAGACATAGTATTACTTGTAGCTATAGGTGGCGCCGGTGTATTTAACCATACATTTCTATTTCTAGATATTGTCCGAGATTTCGATCGTGGTAAATGAAATTGATCACATTTCCTAAAAATAGGTTAATTGTTATTTGGGGTAAGTTCATGGTTAAATGTTATGGTATTTATGTATTACCTAGTATTTAGTTTAATAAATAAAATGAGATAGGCAGTTTGTATCCAAATTATGCGCTTCACTCGATTGTCAATGGTAGGTAAAGGTTATAATTGTCTAAATTATCATGATAAATTATGTCAATAATTTTTGTAAATTTATAAAATATATATAGTTAGCTACTTTACCCAAATAATTACCATGGTACATATCATAAAAGTCATCAAAAATATTTTCTATTTCACCCACTACCGTATCCATGGACGGCCTAACAGTGGGATCCTTATCCCAACACCTAGTCATTAGATTATCAATATTATGTGGACAGTTAGCAAAACGTGGGGGCCGTTCACCACTATTAACTGCCCATAGAATAGCGTATATCGAATCGAGCAAGGTAAATGGTAATTGTCTGGCCATTAATTCCCATACAATTACACCAAAGCTATAGACATCACATTTTTCATTGTATTGGTTATCTCTGAATACTTCGGGCGCCATCCACCTTGCTGATCCCTGAGTTTGAAATTTAAATAATTATTTTGTAAATATCATATTAGTATAATACGATAGTATTGAAAATATGACATAATTTTTGAATTTAATTGTTGGTTAAAAAACAATTACCGTGTTATTTGACATGGTGCTGGCTACATAGCGAGCTGTGCCTAGGTCACAAATTTTTAGTAAACTTTTATCATTAAATAATAACAGACTGTAAATTAACAGAAAATTCAAATTAAAACTTTTTTTAAATTTAATTTAATAGCAACAATACTTTTGTGGTTTGAGGTCCCGGTGCACGACAGGGTTGGGTAGCATGAAGTGCATGTATGAGATCCCGCGGGCGCACTGATACAGCCATGAGAGCGCCTGTATTATGGTATAGGGAACCGGTATCTCGGATGCGTATAATTCTATAATAAATATTTATTTTAATAATAACTTATAAGTAATACTAAAACAAAACCGACATTTCATACAACAATACCAATGCTAACTATATTGATCAAGCATATAAAAGCAGAGTTAAAATGTCGGTTTCAGTTTAAATACCTTTCATATACACACATTTTTTTGCAATAAATTATCAAGTTTAGATTTGTTCAACATACCATGGTGCAAACTGCCACACTCTGCAAACTCCATGATCAGCCACTGGGAGATATTGTCGCGCGCGGTGGCCAATAGGCGCACTATATTAGGGTGTATTAATTGCGATAGTTGTGCTAGCTCAGCGTCGTAATGTTTTGTATGAATAGTCGCTACTTGTTTAACCGCCACCGTATTACCATTCCACACGCCCCTGTACACAACACCATACGCCCCACTGCCAACTGCCTGTCCCATTTAGTACCATATTATACATAAGCCATTCATATAGACAATAACGCTGCGAAACCTGTATTAGTTGGACGTCCGATGGCTGTATATTTTGCATAGTTTGTGGAGTTCCGTACCGTTTATGTCCACAATCGGTTATGAAGAGGGACTGGTATGTGCCGGTGCGTTTAGTCAATATAGTTTTATTTGACTGTTAGTTACCGTATCAAACAAACAAGACTTTTACAAATTAAAAAGTAATAATTTTTAGATTATGGATCGCTTATTGCTATAGACATTCATATGACTGAAGTATTTGCATAATGACATATGCCTCACTTACATATAATGGACTTTGATTAATTAATAATTCATATTCCTGTACATATATTTTATAGATTATTATTAAAGGTTTTATTTGTTTTATTAAAATAATTTTAAAATTAAATATATTTTATATATATATTTTTAATCATATGTTTAGTTTATTAATCTGTAGTTTTCTAAGTGTTGAATAATTTTATTCATTCGTTTAATAAACAAATCATTAATATGATAGGGAAATATATAACAGTAATAATTTTATTGCAATAATTTTTACTGTAATAATTATATTCATTATTGCAATATTGCTTATATCAGATATTTTAAAAAGTATGAGAATGTTTATAATTATATTTTTCAATTTCAATTATTAATAATTTACCCATTTTATTTATCAATTTTGTGTTTATAAAAATTATATATATTTAATAACTAATCATTTCATACAAAATTCAATTTATAAGTCATACATATAAATGTAATTTGTTATGTCTTATGATTAATTGTTTATATAATAAAATCATAATCTTATATTGTATACAAATGAATCATACAAAAAGTTAAATTATGATTCAAAGATTATTTTATAAAGTTATCATATTATTACATTATAAAAAGTTAATTATTTTACCAGTACCAATATATTACAATGAAACCAACATTTGCTTTACAGTAAAGCTAACTTTGCATAACCTTCCCAAAACTAGGTTTACAGTAAAGTCAAACATTTAGGGTAAGGTTAGAATAGTTTCATTTGCGTAACGCCAATGTAAAGCAAATGTTAGCTTAACTGAAATATACGGGCAAATTGAAATTGTTGACATCGAGATATTTTATCTGTAAAGTTTTTAAATATTTTTTCGTAGACCTAGGGCTCGGACTTCAGTGGTGTCGCGCTTCATAACTTTGCTAAAACTGGAGGTACTGTCCTCCGGGTGTTTAACTAGAATATAGAAATATAATATAATTATCATTATAAACAACGTTGCTTATTTAAACAATATATTTATACGTTGTGTTGAATGGGCAGCACCGGGCGATTGCTTGGCATCGAGATTAAAATCACTTATTGGCCTTAGTGGCAAATGTAGCAAATCAACTATGACAAAATTCAAAATTATTAATAATGACAAATATTACGTTGATAATTGCATACAATTTGAGTTGGTCATAGATCGAAATAGGATTTTCACCACGTCGTCCATGGACGGCCTAAGTGCCAACTCCGGTGACCAGCATATAGTCATTAGATTTTCAATAACAGGTGGACAGCCCTGTAAAAGGAACGGCCTTTTGTTTCTATGCACCGCCCATAGTATGGTTTCCATGCGCTCGAGCCGATCGTATGGGAGCCTACGGGCCAACACCTCCCACAATATTATGCCCCAACTATAGACATCGCACTTTTCATTGTATGTGGTGCCCCTGAACACCTCCGGTGCCATCCACCTAGCCGTACCCTACAATTAATAAAGTTAACCAGATTATATGTATGCATTATTATTATAGAGTAAAAGTCAAGGTAAGATTTAATATCTATTCTATATTTAGTAAATTAAACAGATACAATTATCAAACCAAATTGTCAATATTAGTATTTGAGCGATATAATTTCAACATTGGTGTAGTATTAGTGAATAAGCAGTGTAATTTAAGCCGTAATAATAAACGCAAAGTTGAAAGTTATCATTAGAGTTATTGGCGTTCAAAATGTGTGCAGTATTTTGTAACCATGGTACTTACAATACAATTTTCCATGTATTGGGACACTTCGCACGCTGTCCCGAAATTGCATATTTTTAGCTCTGTATTTCCATTAAATAGTAACAAGCTAAAACCAAATAAGATATTAAAATTTTATGTAATGTTGCAATATGCAGATCATATTTAATAAACCTGGTATCATAAAACAAAATCCATACTTTAGGTAATTTTGAATTGAAAGCTTTTATAATGAGTAATAAAGCTTACAATTCACAAATGATCGCTTGGGTGCAGAAAACCGGTATTTATTTTTCAATGCGAACTGTAATCATAACATAATCATTGTATTAGTAGTATTCAATGTGATGTGTAATACTCTTAATACAATGATTATGTTATGATTACAGTTCGCATTGAAAAATAAATACCGGTTTTCTGCACCCAAGCGATCAAATAACCCAAAAATGTGGGATTTGTAATAAAATTCCAAAATTTAAAAGTTATTTTAAAAATCATTACTTCGGAGACTTGAGGTTCCGGTGGACAACCGGTTTTGGTTGCATTGAGTGCAGGTATGCAACACCTCGTGCGCACTGGTAGACCCATGAGAGTGCCTGAGACATAGTGTATGGCACCCAGTATTCATCCCCATGCAGTACTAGTGGTGGCAAAATTAATCAAGTTAAAAAATTTTGAATATAAATATACAAATTAATAAGTTGGGTAATTGGTTTTAGCTTACAATGAAAATGCTTAAACTTAGTATTGTTAATCTAATCATTAATAATAAAAATTTATAATAATAACAAGCAACATTTTTGGTCATGTTAAAGTAAAGTAGAATTCTAACTTTTGATTAACATCTCTTTTTAAAAAATAATTCATGTAAAAAGCTTAATGGTTTATTAACTTCATCATTAGTACTTCATTGTAAGTTGAAAACTTATTACCCTGGTCATATATAAAACATACAGTTAAATAGATTGCCGCACTCGGCGTACTCCATGATCAGCCATAGATAGTCATTGCAACGAGCGGTGCCATACAGTCTGACAATATTTGGGTGATTTATTCGCGACAATTGTGCAAGCTCATTATTATAATCTGTAGTTTCCACTTTGTCTATTTGCTTTACGGCAATAGTATCACCTCTCCACACACTTTTCCATACTGCACCAAACGTACCCCTCCCTACCACCTATTCTCAAAAATAATAACACTAAATTATCCATGATCATTTATAATATAGTTCATTCACCAACTTCGTTTAATTGAATGTCCGATTTATCGACAATTTCGATGATATACGACTGTTTTGAATCCCATATTGGGTCCGATATGTGACCCTTATTACCCAAGGATTGCATTATTATTTAATAAGAAGTGCCTTGCTAATTAAATTATAAATATTACACAGTATTATTACTAAATAAGTAAAAAATTAATAATAATTATTATTTTAAAATAATTAATTTATATCCACTTAATTATTTTAGTTTTTAACAATATATTTTTTAGAAATATTATATTTAACTGCGATTTAAGCAAATTACATTTACAAACCTAACGTTAACTTTAGTAAACTGTAAATTTGACTTTATTTATCCTTAACGTATACAAAAAAATAGTCATCAGATATTATGTGACACTTAGCAACAATATTTCTTATAATTTTAATCAGCTGTTTACATTAAATATTTTATCATAATTACATATAACTTTACTAAATGTATATTTTATTGCTCATTTTCCGGTAAATTGTTTTACAATTATTAATAAATTTAGCAATTTCAAATATAAATTATTTAATTTATACATTAATGAGAATGCGCACACTAAATATTAAATTCCTTACGTGTTTTTGTAAAGTAGCCATAATTTAGGTTAATTATTTTAATAAAATTTCTAGGGTGAACAGGTTATTATAATTCATGTTATACAATAATCTGATAAATTCATGCTTGCACATATTAGTTAGTCTATCAATCTCTATTATGTAAAAATTAATTAATTAATATCAAAAATAAATTTCAAACTAAATTCTAAAATATTTTATTATTTTTAGCTAAATTTATTTTATTACAAAACAGTTGGCAACACTACAAATGGTCTCCTTGTTTTTAAATAATTAAATTTTTTATTATATAAAACTTAGCCAATACAATAATTATGAAACTATTGTCGAACACTATTAGTTTCAAGGCAGTTACTATATATTTGTGCGTGTTCATTCAAACACTAATATTGCCATGCATAAATGCCGTGCCTATTCCATACCCTCAGTCTGGACCTGATCCTGGAAGTACTACCGGACCAGCCGGTGCAGGAACTGGACCCGCATTAACTAGGGTTGAACCTAACCCGGGAACTTTATCTGATTCTGGATTTACTAATGAAACTGGTGTTGGAACCGAATTAAGAAGTGGTTCTGAGTCAACGACAGTTACTAATATGAATGTCACGTCTGATGGAACACCTGGAGCTGTATCTGATGCTAATGGTGGAGATGAATCTAATTCTCAAGTGGATGTGATTCTGCGAGCGAATCCGGGTGAACAATCGGATTCTAATAACAGTTCTGGAGCTGGAGCTAAACCTGGAGCTAGAGCTGTAGCTTGTGGTGGAGCTGGAGCTGCGCCTGTACCAAGTGCTAGTGCGATACCTAGCAATGGTCCTGGGTCAAACACAGATATAACTATTACTATCAATTCTTATGGCGGTTCTGGATCTGTTGCTGGACCTGGAGCAAAACCACCTGGAACTATAGCTGAGCCTACACCTGGAGCCAGCCCACAACAAGTTGGTGAAGCGCAGGGTAACCATTATCATATAGTTAACCCCAAAATGGGAACTAATTACTTATATGTCAACAGTATCACCAATACGCGCACCAGTAGCTTACTCCCTAAAACCTTGGCAGCAACTACAATTACTGGCACCGCCTCGTAGCCAAGGCCTACTGGGCGGGTTGAAAAATGCCCTACCAGTGGGGGGACTACTAAAAAGCCTGCTTAATATTGTACCACTAGAACAAACCATTAGTGGACTGCCAGTCGCGGGTGGTCTAGTAAGCCAACTAGGATTGGGAAACACATTACGATCGTTGCCTATAGTGAGCGACGTATTGCAGCCGTTAATAGGCGACACGGAGGTGCTGGGTATGAATCTGAACAAAGATAGGCCTCACGTGTATGACCCTTATGTGGGTAGATATGTGCCGGTGTATGGGTTTGATCAACGATTTGACATACTGCAAAATAGGCTACTGGGGCTTGGCGGTGGTCTAACCGGGCCCCTTAATGGTCTGTTAGGGTCAATTACCGGGTTGTTAGGAGGGGTGTTACCCAGTGTGGGCCTTAGACTCGGTGTTGATGCAGCTGTAAAGTTAGGCTAACATAACTCAATTTACATAAATACATTTAATGTAATATGATTAAATTTTGTTAAAATTTAAAATTTTATAAATTTGATTAATTATGAAATTCAAATAAATGTTAATTTTTATGTAATTATTATGTCATAAATTTATATGACAACTTAAAATATAATTATTCTAAAGTTATATGATATTATACCGTATATATAACTTCTCGAGAGTTATGCGGTATTTAAGTGATATGCATTTAAAACATGTTATTGTCAAATGTTTTAAATTAGTAAGGTTGTAAATTTATATATTAATTAGTTGGTCTGAATTGCCTAAAACTTTTAATTTAAAATTATGTTAATATATATATATATATACATAATACAAATAATATATATATAAACTGTGATCAATTATAAACAAACTATTTCTTTCCTAAATTAAAAATACTAAATATTAATCAATTTTAACAAAAAATATACCAAAATGTTCAGGGATAATGAAATTTTTTTATCTGTATTA